GCAAAAGAGTTCTCAGAGAGGCCGATTTATTCTCCTAAGTATGCGTCATAATGTTAAATTAAATTGATTATATATGCAAACTATCACTTAAACAATTGGCTATATCAACTGTATGATATTATAGTCGAAATATAGACTATAATATTATAAAAATACTTAAAATCAAGTTTTATCACCATCACACATGGAGTTTGTTTATATAAAAATATTTGGTTTGGAAATTTTTTTAAGATACGTACCATCAGTCGGGCCGGTGCATGAATATTTCGTTGTACTGGGACGAATTTCTATCTATCTATCTTCAAATCATTATATTGCCATTTTGGCCCTAAGTGCATGGGAGCGCCTTTGATCATGTGGGAAAAATACAGCTTATCATGGTGACAGTGACAGATTTTATGTTTTTTTTACTCACCCTGTAATTGTAATTCTTAACAAGTAACTGATTACTTGCCTAAACCTACATTTTGCAACCTGATTTATAAAGCCGCACTGCAAATCAAGATGTGCACAATTTCACACAAAAGTCGAGCAGTAGTTTGCCAATTACTCATTTTAAAATAAAGAAACGAGTATAAAAATTTGATGACTAAGTTTCAGTGTTATCTTTATCTCAATTATATTTATTTCAATCATATGCATTCTACTAGAAGTAGTCAACATTTGAAATATCAAAGTTTAACGCCTCACAAAAATTCAAACATTTATAAAAACTATACATCAATTTTTAATTTTCAAATTTTTAATTTCTGTTTTAATATTTTTATCCCTCAATTTAAAGATTTTGTAACTAAAAGTAACCAATTCAGAGCGGCAAAATCTTAATTTATTTTTATGTGCTGAAACTGTCAATTTGCGTAAAAATTAATTTGCACAACTTACGCAAAAAAAGCGCAAACAGGCAAAAATTTACGACGCTTCATGCGCAAAAGATCGCAAAAAATATTGTCATTTTGTGGAAACCCAAATAAATAATCAAATAGTCGAGACAATTTTTGTTTAGTATAACAAAATTTCCTATGAATAAGAACATTTTAAATATAATCTTGTTTACTTTCAAATGTTTTAAACAGAGCTAGACTCATAATACTGTGGAATAGAAAGACGACATTTGAACAATATTGTGTGTATTAATCCAATGTTGTTAAACAAGTAAATAGTTTTACAAGTAGTTTAAAAATCTGTGTTAGGTGCAAAATTAAGCTGTATTTCAAGTTTAATGGACTATTCAAAACCATAACTTGTGTCTAAAAGTCGTTTTCCTATTCCACAGTTTCATGTGTATCAATGAACAATTCAAAACTTTTGATATTTTAAAGTTTTTTTTTAATGTTACATAACTGTCTAGTGTACCCATAGGGCAGTTCCTAGCATGTTTCTACTATAGTGTTCTATCAGCATACTGTACTTAATACTCAAGTCATGCGATAGATCGTGGTCGGCTGTACAGTGTACATTGTACAGTCCCAAATTGTACCTTTTTATTAATGACAAAAAAAAATAAGATAGATGAGATAAATCTGTAAAACCTCGTTTTTATTACGACAAGTGAAACCAATAAAACTGTGGAATAGAAATACTACTTTTAGACACAATTCATAATTTTTAATTGTCCAATGTACATAAAACACAGCAATTGTTCAAGATACTAGTAAAACTATTTGCTTTAAAACAACATCAAATACACATAATATTGTTTTAATGTCGTCTTCCTATTCTACAGTTTGAAGGGTTTCTCTGTATTTTATAGATTTGGTGAAACTATCTTTAATCTCTGTGAGAAATAATTGGGTATACAGGGTAAACCACAAAGATGAAAGAAGAATTATTTACTAAAATTAAAGACAATGTATAACATGGGTGATGAAGTTTAATTNATCAAGCGGGATAAAAAAAGTGTTGAACTAGCCCCCTCCCCTCCCTTCAAGCGGGATAAAAAAAGTGTTGAACTATCCCCCTCCCCTCCCTTCAAGCGGGATAAAAAAAGGATAATTTAGCATCCTTGTAGGAGACTGAGGGTGTCTCTGATAAAAGTATGTTTAAACTTTTAGTCACTACACATCGCTTTATTGTACTGAAAAGTGTTTCTGTTAGCTACAAATGTCCATAAAAAGCTTGAACACACTTTTTTCAGAGACCTAGTATATGTTGGGTTTAAAAAGATTATAATGAAGGGCTTATCTTTCCAGATTCTCTTAATCTTTCAGCAAATCCTTCCCGTAAGCTCATTGCCGCTACAAATCTTTAACTTTACTAAAATACAAACATTTCAAAAAATACAGGTTTCTCTGAAAAGAGTGCTTAAGAATTTTCGCCTACTAAACATTGTTTTATTGTTCTAAATAGCACCTCTGGTTAAAATATACATATACAAATGTGGATGTGGGGGGGGGGGGGTCTTACTCTAAAATCTTATTGTAACCTTTAAAAATAGGTCTTTTGAAAATGAACTCGGTCACTTTTCCTCAGATTAAAAAAAATTCAAACAAAACGTCAGTTCTGTTTATAAAACGTAAAATATAATAATTTTACATTTTTTTGAAAATCTTTGGAAGAAAGACCGCGCACATTTTCGAATATTAGGCCTAGAGCAAAATTCATCTACTTGAACCACTTTTTATGAGACGACACACAGTAGGCAAAAAAGCTTAAAAACACTTTTTTCAGAAGCACCCTGTAGTTGTTTACAAGATGCCAGTGCCAGGATAAAATACAGCCTTAGATCCTACTGGATTTTTAAACATTGATTGGAGAAAGTTTTAAAAGTAGTTGACATCAAAAATGTGAAATCCTTATGCACCGAGACATAAAAGTTTAATTTTGGCTAAATTTNGGTTTTAGTTGGGTTTGATTTGCATTTTCCACTCATTTCTGGCATTTACAAACTCCATCAAATAAAGGCTTCATTTCATATCTTTCAGCTTTCATCTTATTTTATATCCATCATTATATTCATTCATTTTACATTAACTACAAAGATCTGTAAAAAAGCTGAATTTATCTTAAGTAACATAAAAAATAGTTTCTTTCCTAGAAAAGCTAGTCTGCAAAACTTTGAAAAAATATTATCTTTGTTTATATTGTGGCGGTTATGAAAGTCGTCCTTCTTGGATAATTCTCCGCGGCAGCTGAGAAGACTAGGGGGAGTTTCTTTAGCCACGTAATCATAATGAAAACCATGTGAATATATAGATAACTTTTAACCACGTATCTTAGATAAAAATATATAATCAGTTAGTCGTGAACCTTGTAGTTATTTAGCTGATCGCCAAATTGGTGACCCCGGACTGTTTGAATACATTTTCTAAGTCCTAAGTGAAGCAACCCACCTTGTTGCATAATTCTTTATATAAACAATTTCCTTATTGTTCTCAGTTTTGCCTGTAATTGCAATCATTGAATAAAAGGAAATTGTGCCTTTCCTCCTAATTTATTAATCAACTCCCTTATTCTTCTCAGTTTTGCCAGAAATTGCAAAACGGTGATTAAAAGGGGGTTAACTATTACCCTATCCTGAACTAGCATTTTCTCATTGTAAACCATGCCTGGAGATCCAACCTTGGCCACAGGCACTGTAAACCAGGCGGAGTCAACCCAGTCCAGCCATCTTTACGCTGTTGCTCTGAAGCTTCCTGTTTTCTGGCCTGACAGTTGTGAGTCCTGGTTCATTAATGCAGAGTCGCAATTCCATCTCAAGAACATCACCGCCAGCAGCACCAAGTTCCATCATGTTGTGGCGTCCTTACCCCAGAAGGAGATCGATAACGTCGTCGACATCATCAGGAACCCACCTGCAGCCGAGCCTTACAGTGTTCTCAAGTCTCGTCTGTTACAGACACATTCTTTGACAGATTATGCTCGTTGTGAGTCGATTATGTCTCTTCCTTTGTCTGGAGATATGTTGCCCTCAGCGTTATTGTCCAGGATGCAGGCTCTTCTTCCTATAGAGCATCAAGAATGTTTGTTCCTTCGGTACGCTTTCCTCAGACAACTTCCATCTGATGTCAGGTCACATTTAGTGCATGATAATACCGTGGACATCGCTGTTCTCTCTCAACGTGCTGACGAGATCTACCGGAGCAGTCTGTCCCCCAGATCTTCGGTTAACACTGTGGATTCGGTTCATGCTGTGAATTCACCTTCTTGGATAATTCTCCGCGGCAGCTGAGAAGACTAGGGGGAGTTTCTTTAGCCATGTAATCATAATGAAAACCATGTGAATATATAGATAACTTTTAACCACATATCTTAGATAAAAATATATATATCAGTTAGTCGTGAACCTTGTAGTTATTTAGCTGATCGCCAAAATATACTATTTTCTAATTTCTAAAATGTTCTTGTCGTCAATGTAGTATGTTAAGATCTTAAATAAATCTAATATGGAAATGACATTATTTAGAAGTAAAAATGTATTTTTCAGTGCCCATACCCTTTTTTTCTATTAAAAAAACATCTAATTGTAATGACATTGACTATTACTTTAGAATTTAGAATCATTTAGAATATGTTGACTTAAAATCATTCAAGGGGGGGGGGGNCTGGGGGGGGGTAAATAACCCCAATAACCCCCCTTATTTACGCCACTGACTGAAAGTTTAAAAAGTAGTTGGTGCAAAGGGATTTCTTATTTTTGTGTCGAGACATAAAAGTTAAATTTGGATTTGATTTGTGGTACAAGGCAAGTTGTTTAATTAATTCAGGGATATTTACTGAAATTTTTCGGGGGGGGGGGATGGAGTTGAGATATTCTACACTAGAAAAAAAATATAATTTAGTGTAAAATTATGATTTACATTTAAACATTTAAACTTTACATTTCTTGCTTCAGAAACGATGAAGAAATGAAGGTTTCAAAGGTTCATCGGACATACTACTCTGTAAATGGAGGGTCACTTGAAATTAAGCATGAATTACATTTTACATATGTAATTTAAAAATACTTTAAAATCTCACTTTTGCCCTTCACTTAAAAAGTTGCTTAAAAAGCTTTAATCAATACAGTCTTCAGTGTAAATATATACAGTGGTAAGCAATTATATCAAAAGAATGAAGACGATTTTTGATTTCAATTTTGATTTATATCAAGCTGTTAAACAGCATGAATTAACATAAACATAGAAAAATAAAAATTCACATCAAAATGTTAGATAGTAAGTTTTTCATTCAAACATGGAAATTTCGTATTTTCGAAACTAGAAAATGCTTGAATTTGTTTTAGTTCTTCAAGTGCATGTGCTTAATATCCCGTTGTTTTATGCTTTTTAAATTAGACAAGGCTTTTAGGGCGCTACGCGCAAATCTTCTATTTCGACTGGGAAAATTTCATCTTTGTATACAATATAAAACAAAAGCAAAAATAGTTCGCGGATTTTAAAATATTTGTTCGTAGATTTTCAAAATTTTATTCGAATCAAATCTTGATGAAGGCAAATTGTTAAAATTTGGGTCATCCATAAACCTGGGGTTACATCAGGTAGGTCCCACAAAAAATTTGGGTCTCATTGGCTCAGCCGTTTCGACGTTTTTGGGATACAAACAATCAAACACCCAGACAGACACCCCAACAATGTATATATATATATATAGATGTTTAAAATATATTTCGGTAGAGCTTTAATTATTTGAATATTCAAGTATATGTGGTTCACACCTCGTTGTTTAGTGGTTTTTAAAAGATGCGACACGACACCTACAATTTATATCGCGTGACATTTTTTTGAATAAAATGTCTAAAAATAGATAAACTGAAAATTATGTTCTTCTGTTAAATGTTTAAAACCTTAAATATTTACATCCTTATCTCTAAATGTTTAAATCTTTAATTTTAGATATTTACATTCTGATCTTTAATATTTTATTCTTTATATATGTGTGCGCAAGTGCAATCTCCTGCGATTATTCTAGTATAAAAACTTTGTTAACTATGTATAGTGCCACCCTATTCTCTACTCTTGTAAAATATAGGCTGACAGATAAAGTAAGTTTTTTTATATAGTTCTTTATAGAGTCTATAATCAAAGAGTTTCTGGGTTTTCGAGTGTTGAATAAAATTATGTTGAATTATTGAAAATGAATTAGCTAGAAAAAATTCCAAGAGATATTATAAGTGTAAATAAAAAGATTAGAAAAGATAGATATTCGTCTAGTTGGGAATTTCAATTTAAAAATGCAGATTTGCATTACTCTAAAAATCAGACATTTTTTTATTAAAGAATATATATACTAAAGTTTTGTTTCTAGATAAAAATCAAAAATATTAAAATCTAGAATTGTTACAGTCGGTAGAGTTTAAAGTTTCTTGTGTGTTTGTTTAAGGTTTAAGGGCATTAAAAAACAATAAAACTTGTGTACATACTGATAACGTTTATTAACTCAAGATATTTTATAACGTTTGTAGAACTCTACAAGTTTTATTGCTAACTATATATATTTGATTAATTACAGATGATTTAAGATATAATTATACTTTAGCCTGGGAACCAAATCCCCGTATCCCACAATTAACAAAATTCAAGGCTAAAAAAACAGAAAAAAAAGATCGTAGACAATTCTGGAAGTTGAACTAGATAAAGTAGAAACACCTGGAACTTCTAGAACAATCTAATGACAGACTTGAGAAGATTATATTGGTGAGAACTAATGTTCAAGAAAGTTCTAGAATAAAATGGCGTCCAAAAAACAGGCTCCGATTTTTTAGTTAGTTAGATTGTGATTTTAGATCATATCATTATTTATTGTGCAAAGTAACCCAGTGATTTAAGGAATTTAAGTGTGTCTTTTGAAACAAAAGATTGAAAATCTAGGTAATAAGTTCTTTCCTTTTAACTATTAGCTCTCTCAAAATCCGCAATTATCAATCATCAAGTATATTCATAATATCCCAATTTATACTTTATAGAGGTCGAAGAGTATTAAGTAAAGATAGATATTTATATAAAATTTGTAAAGTCAAATTGTTTATAATCTTATTCAAATATTGTTATATATTTATTATTACATTTGTAAATATTTTATTTTCTAATTAATCATTTCCATTATTATTATTGTCGCAATTTTTCCTTGGACTGAAATACAAAGCTTAATGAAAAATCTCAAAGTTAAGGATGTATATAAAGTAGTTAAGGATGTATATAAAGTAGTTAAGAAAGATTGGAAGCCTTCTAAAACATTTTCAACCTTTAAGAACTAAACACATAAATAATATATACTAGAGAACAAAAAGTAAAATATAGAAATTGGTTCAAAATAAAGAAAAATTCAATTTTATTCAGAAATACTTTGTCCTCCATAAAAGCGTGGCAGCATTTAATGCAGGGCTTATTGATTAAGCTATTCATCAGAAATTCGAATATCTAAAGGCCTCAAAACTGTCAGTAGTTTAACTTTGAATCCTGCATTATTTGCTTTTGGGTAAGTTAAAGCTAATTGAACTCTACTTTGTAAAATATTTTATTTAAAACTCATAAGAACCTATTTAATTTATTGTCTTACTTTGTTTATTTATCTTAAACATTAAAAATGGTCAAATTGCAATTCATATCAGCAATTTTATAAAAGTCGCTCATCATAAGAATAGGCCGCAGTTTTACAACAGTGTAAAGTGTGCAGTGTGCAGCAAACAGTGTACAGAGAATAGTGTGCAGTGTGCAGTGTACAGAGAACAGTGTAAATTGTGCACTGTGCAGTGTGTAGTGTGCAATGTACAGAGAACAGTGTAAAGTGTGCACTGTGCAATGTGTACTGGGCATGGAAGATCTTTGATCTTCGGGGCCGGAAGATCAAAGATCTTCCATGCCCTGAACGTTGCAAGTTACGATCCGGAGTATCTCGATAACTTCGGGGTTACAGAATCCTCATTTACGCCAATGGAGTCTAGAAACATTTATGATTTTTACTTTCAATGATTTATTTTGTAAGTTATAAAAGTGAACTTTGTTCTAAAAAGCAGATTAGACTCAAGTTTATAATACGTACAATTTATGTCGGTAGAGCTTAAAGCTTCTTGCGTGTTTGTTTAAGGTTTAAGAACAGTAAAAACAATAAAACTTGTATACATACTGATAACGTTTATAAACTTAAGATGTTTTATAAAGTAAAGAAGCCATGGATCCATTTTTTTTCAGAATTGAATCTGCATCCAATTGGACAACTTTACCCGTAATCCTTTCAAATCTTTGCCCGATCCTTGTGGACAAATTTCAAGAAATATTGAAATTTTTGAAAATTTTAATTTATTTTAGGATTGTATTTTTTCCGCATCTCATGATGATCTCTCTACTATGTACACCAGATGTACAGTGTGCAGTGTACGAACACACAGTGAACTGCACTGAAATTGCTCCATGAAACATCGGACAGATGCAAAAATTACATTCTCTTGGGAGTGCCTTTGATCATGTATAAAAATTACAGCTGATTACAGTGACAGATGTAATGTTTTTTTTTACTCCCTCTGTAATTGTAATTCTTAACAAGTAACTGATTACTTGCCTAAAACTACATTTTGCAACCTGATTCATAAAGGCACACTGCAAATTAAGATGTACACAATTTCACACAAAAGTCGAGCAGTATTTTGCCAATTACTCATTTTAAACTAAAGAAACGAGTATAAAACTTTGATGACTAAGTTTCAGTATTGTCTTTATTTCAATTATATTTATTTCAATCATATGCATTTAACTAGAAGTTGTCAACATTTAAAATATCAAAGTTTAACACCACACAAAATTTCAGACATTTATAAAAAAAAATACAACAAAAACGCAAAATTTTACTGCGGTTCATGCGCAAAAGATGCATAAAGGATCGCAGAAAATATTGTCATTTCGTGGAAACCCTAATAAATAATCAAATTCTCAAGACAATTTTTGTTAAGTATAACAAAATTTCTATGACTAAGAAAATTCAAAATATAATCTTTACTTTCAAATGTTTTATACAGAGCTAGACTCATAAAACTGTGGAATAGAAAGACAACATTTGAACAATATCGAGTGTATTAATCACATGTTTTTAAACAAGCAAATAGTTTTACCAGTGGTTTCAAAATCTGTGTGAGGTGCAGAATTAAGCTGTATTTCAAGTTTATTGGACTATTCAAAATCATAACTTGTGTCGTAAAGTCGTTTTCCTATTCCACAGTTTTATGTGTGTTAATGTACA